AACAGGATGGGATTGTGGCATGACCACTTCCTCTGCAGGGTGATTTCTCACTTTCCCTCTCTTTATTTCCCTCTCTATCCTTCTCCAGCACATGCCCTATGGCAAAAACCTGAAGAAAAAAAAAAAAGAAAGCAAGCAAGCAAAGAAACATACGGTGTCTTTAATAAGGCAGAAAGCTTTAGGTAGCTTGAGAGAAATCGCTATTTTTTAAAGTCTTGCTTTGATTAGGTTCTTGTCTATCTATTTCCCATCTGAGTCACATCTAGGTTATAGATACCAAAGACCTCTTCTCTTCAACAACAAGTGACTGCTTACTGTTACAAGACTAGTTCTTGGGACCTTTAAAATAAGCTCCTTCATTTTATACTATTTTTAAGGTTCATTTCTTTATTATATGAGTGAGAGAGGGAGAAAGAATGCAAGAGAGACAGAGATATAGCCCCAACAGGGTCTTGATTACTTGATCCACCTGTAGCCTCCGCTGGCCTGATCATAGGTACACGCATGCCCACTGTACTCAGGGAGACCAGGGCAACCTTCCCATGTGGGCTTGCCTCATGGAGTATAGCATTTCACTTCCGGGCCACCATCCAGCCTCTCCTTTTATACTTTCTAATGCCTACTGTGTCCTGTAAGAGTATTACCTTTTGATTAATGGAAATGAGACATGTGAATCCCAACTATCGTAAAATTGTGAGTGCTACAGATCTAAAAGAAAGAGAAATGCCAAAGTGACACCAATAAGAAGTCATTTTCTTCCCTAATTCTGCCACTGTTTATAGAAACCTAAGGGACTCACATTTGACTGACAGTATTCAAGAAAGAATTGCTAATAAATCTCTAAAGAACCTTCATGAGGGACCAGCAGTTAGCGTAATAGCTATGTCACTGGACTCCCATGTAGTCGACTGCAGTGTGAGTCCCAGACCTGGCTGCTTAAACTCACACTGGGCACGTGTGTGTGCGTGCCCAATATCTCGAGAGGAGAATGGAGGAGAAGGGATTGC